ATTTTGTTTTTAGGTTAGACTGTATAGTCTCACTTATATATTCATTGGAAATAGGATAATATGTTTTTTTGTTTTGTTTCTATATGGCCGGTTTATAGTATATATAAGCATCCACATGTATTGTGATTGGGCTCCAATAAAATGGAGGAGTAGGACACTCCTCCTGAGCAATCACCTACAGTGGGGATCGAAAGTTTGGGCACCCCAGCTAAAAATTTGTATTAATGTGCATAAAGAAGCCAAGGAAAGATGGAAAAATCTCCAAAAGGCATAAAATTACAGATTAGACATTCTTATAATATGTCAACAAAAGTTAGATTTTACTTCCATCATTTACACTTTCAAAATAACAGAAAACAAAAAAATGGTGTCTGCAAAAGTTTGGGCACCCTGCAGAGTTAATATCTTGTACTGCCCCCTTTGGCAAGTATCACAGCTTGTAAACGCTTTTTGTAGCCAACCAAGAGTCTTTCAATTCTTGTTTGAGGTATCTTTGCCCATTCTTCCTTACAAAAGTCTTCCAGTTCTTTGAGATTTCTGGGCTGTCTGTCACGCACTGCTCTTTTAAGGTCTATCCATAGATTTTCAATTATGTTGAGGTCAGGAGATTGTGAAGGCCATGGCAAAACCTTCAGTTTACGCCTCTTGATGTAATCCCCCTTGGATTCAAGGTGTGTGTTTAGGATCATTATCCATTTGTAGAAGCCATCCTCTCTTTAACGTCAGCTTTTTCACAGATGGCATCAAGTTACCATCCAAAATTTGCTGAAATTTTATTGAATCCATTTTTTCCTTCTACTCGTGAGATGTTCCCTGTGCCACTGGCTGCAACACAACCCCAAAGCATGATTGATCCAACCCCAAGCTTAACAGTTGGACAGAGGTTCTTTTCATTAAATTCTGTGCCCCTTCTTCTCCAAACGTACCTTTGCTCATTCCGGCCAAAAAAGTTCAATTTTAACCTCATCGGTCCACAGAACTTGTTTCCAAAATGCATCAGGCTTGTCTATATGTTCATTTGCAAAGTTCAAACGATGATTTTTGTGGTGAGGACGTAGAAGAGGTTTTGTTCTGATGACTCTTCCATGAAGACCATATTTGTACAAGTATCTCTTTATAGTGGAATAGTGTACCACAACTCCAGTGTCTGCCAGATCTTTCTGGAGGGATCGTGCAGTCAAACGTGAGTTTTGAATTGTTTTTCTCACAATCCTGCGAGCTGTTCTGTCTGATATATTTCTCGGTCTTTCAGATCTTGCTTTAACTTCCACTGTTCCTGATGACTGCCATTCCTTAATTACATTCCGAACAGAGGATATTGACATCTGAAAATGCTTTGCTATCTTCTTATAGCCTTCTCCAGCTTTGTGAGCGTCAACTATTTTCAGTTTCAGTTTTCTAGACATCTGCTTAGAAGAACCCATGGTGCTGATTGTTGGGGCAAGGTCAGATGAGTCTGGGCATTTAAAACCTTTGAGATTGACATCACCTGGTCTTCCCAGATGATGATTGAGAACAATCCATGACACTGGCAGGTCTCAGCTTGGCAAAGGGGGGCAGTGCATGCTATAAATTCTGCAGGGTGCCCAAACTTTTGCAGACGCCATTTTTTTGTTTTCTGTTATTTTGAAAGTGTAAATGATGGAAATAAAATCTAACTTTTTGTTGACATATTATAAGAATGTCTAATCGGTAATTTGATGCCTTTTGGGGATTTTTCCATCTTTCCTTGGCTTCTTTATGCACATTAATACAAATTTTTAGCTGGGGTGCCCAAACTTTCGATCCCCACTGTAATTAGCATAAATAGGAAGTACTGTCATCCAATGCGCTATCCTGAAGAAGCCACGTGTCCGTGGTGTAACGCGTAGAGCGCAGTGACGTCATTTCCGGGTGGAGCTCGGTGACGGACTTCCGGTTTTTTCCCCATCTTGATTCCTTTAGTACACCCATAACATGTGGGAAACCATGGGTTTTGTACTTGGATCATGTGAGTTGCTTATCTGTTTTTTTTATTTGAAAAACTGACATATTACACTATGGAAGTTTTTCTCTGCTTATCCTTCCATGCTCCTGATAACTGGGCAACCGGAGAGATTAAAAAATGTTAGAAGTAGGCAATCACTACATTCAAGTATAACTAAAGGCAAAACTTTTTTTTAGTTTTGGATAGAGTGGGGAGGGATTACAACACCTGTCGGGATTTTATTGCTGTCTGTGTCCCCATTAGGGACATTCACCCTATTTGTCCTCTATCATTGAAAGTGATAGAAAATTCCTAAATTGATGTTTTCCGAGGGATAGAGGGGAAAACACTCAATGGGGAAGCTAGTTCTGGTAACAAAAAAGGTGTTCCATGACTTTGGAGAGATTTCCTTTCACTTCCTGTTTTGGTTAATTCACAGGAAGTGAAGGGAAATCTCCCCAGAAGAACACAGATGGCAAAAAAATTACAGGATGTATAACGCTCGCTTACTTTATCCAAAATTAAAAAAAAAGTTTTGCATTTAGTTCTACTTTAATTTACCTACTGTGTATAGAGCACATCCATGAAAAAAGGATTGAGAGCAAGAATGGCATTGGGGTTCTTCTATATGTACATCCTGCTTTTCACAATGGAAAGTCTAGCAATGTAGAATAGAAGAGTGGACATGTGGGCTTCGCTAGACGTATAGCCCACCTCTAGCGTTTTGTGACTACAGGAATGCAGTGCAGTATACAAATCCATTAGAGGGGACACAAGTTTAGTATGTGGAGCAGATCCCTTGTTCTCAGTCTTTGTCTCCAGGTAAAGTGCAGATTTATATGTAATCTTGAACATAATCATTTGTAATGTTTTTAACAGCCCTGACTAGTTATGAGTGGTTTGAAAGCATAGGAAAAAAGAAAAGCGGTAAGAGGTTATATTTACAGTGCTGCTTTGTATCCATGTATTCCTGAAAGAGCTGTTGTGTTTTAATAGTACATTGTTCTATAGGTACCTACCACCATATCTTTGTTCAGCAAACATAGTTCCACTTCAGGTTATAGGTTGGCGGGAGAGTGGAATGTCCACCTTTCTCTTGACTTTGCACTTGGCTGATGTTCTGATCATCCATAAATGTACAATTTCCAACGTGAAAGCTGAAACAAGCAAAATATTAAACAACCAAATTGAAACGTGCATTCATATTATAAAAGTTCCTTTTCTGATTTTAGGAAAAAAAGATTATTCACAGATAAAGAAAAATGAATGTAAAAGATGCCAGTTTACTGTATACAGTAGATATAAAAAGTCTACACACCTCTATTAAAATGTCAGGTTTCTGTGATGTAAAAAAAATGAGAAGTAAAATCATTTCAGAATTTTTTCCACCTTTATTGCGACCTATAAACTGTACAGCACAATTGAAAAACAAACTTAAATCCTTTAGGGAGGGGGGAGTAAACATAAAAAACTAAAATAATATGGTTGCATAAGGTTACATTCACACTAGCTTTGTCAGCAGGCGTCAGACAAGCATTTGGGAAGCATTTGAAACACCATGAAAATTCTGCACATGGTAGCACACAGTGCTGTTCACACGGAAGCGTTAGCGTCGTGGTAAAACTGACGCCTCATGTTGAGTCAGGAGCAGTTGAAGCCTCCCATTCAAATTTATTGTGCAGCTCCGCAAACGCCTGGCAGGCGTGTGTGTACGGTTGCGTAGCGGTTGTGGAGCATTAATACCATTTAACGTCATTATAGGAGTTTGTGGTGCAGTTTTAACGCTTGGCAAACGCCTATCAACTGCCTCAAAACCGCGCGTAGGGCATTTTTGGAGTTTGGGGAGTGTTTGAGGAGTGTTAAAAACCCTTCACAAACGCCTGTCTAATGCCTGTCAAACGCTATAGGGGCGTTTGGCAAGAGTTAGAAATAAAGTCAAGTGTGAACGAGCCCTAAGTGTGCACACCCTCTTATAACTGGGGATGTAGCTGTGTTCAGAACAGGGGCGGAATGACAACTCATGGGGCCCCCGGGCAATAGGGGATCATGGGGCCCCTGTGTCCTTCCCCAAACTCAAAAAAGAAAAAGGTACCAGGGGCATCTCATGGGGCTCCCTACTGACCCCGAGCCCTCGGGCAGTGCCCGAGTTTCCAAATGGTCAGTCCGCCCCTGGTTCAGAATTAAGCATTACATTCAAAATCATATTAAATAGGAGTCAGTACACACCTGCCATCATTTAGAGTGCCTCTGATCCAAAGCATACATCCAAATCAACAAAGGAATGGATTCACCAGAAGAAGATTAAAGTTTTGAAATGGCCCAGCCAGAGCAAAGACCTAAATCCGATGGAAAATCTGTGTGGTGATCTGAAGAGGGTTGTGCACAGGAGGTGCCCTCACAATCTGACAGATTTGGAGTTTTTTTTGCAAGGAAGAGTGGGCAAATATTGCCAAGTCAAGATGTGCAATGCTGATAGACTCAAACCCAAAAAGACTGAGTGCTGGAATCAAATCAAAAAGGCGCTTCAACAAAGTATTAGTTTAAGGGTGTGCACACTTATGCAACCATATTATTTTAGTTTTTTATGTTTACTTCCCTCCACATAAAAGATTTCAGTTTGTTTTTCAACCGAGTTGTACAGTTTATAGGTCACATTAAAGGTGGAAAAAGTTCTAAAATGATTTAGCTTTGTCTCATTTTTATCCATCACAGAAAGCTGACATTTCAACAGGGGTGTGTAGATTTTTTATAGCCACTGTACTTACTCTGGGAGCTAACCTTCACAGTCATGACATAAGACAAAATGAAAATGGCGTCCCAGATGCACATGGGATCAGCAGACTGTAAAGCGAAGCTAATATTGAATGACGATGAATTGGCTTCAGCTTGGTTAATAAAGGATGATGGGAATTGGCTTCAACTTTGTTCTACACCCATAGAAGAACCTCCACTAATGTGTTTCATTCATGGGGCTATATCTGGCCTCTCACAGTACACAACATGGAAATGCAATTATTTTAGTAAATATAAACTGCTAAATACCTTTTCTCATCAGCAGTTAGAACAGTCTTGTGACTTCTATCAGTGTTTAGCAGAGCACTGGTTACAGCTTGTAGGAGGAGTTTTCTTTCTGCTCTAGGAGGATGCAGAACCCCTGACCTCTGTCTGGACAGTGCTGATTGGCCCTGTGCTGATCACATGCACTCTCCCAAACAAAAAAAAAACAAACCTCTTCAACAATACATACCAAACTGAGCATGTGCAGAGTGTCTTTACACAATATGTCTTATCAGGAGATAAGAAGGGGGCACTGGAGGAAGGGGAGGATCAGAGAAGTCAGGATCAAACCACATTTTCACACAATGCAGTGGATTAACCCCTTAGGTTCCACAATAAGTATAAAAAGCATGCTTTACTGCATATACAGACTGATTTTACTGTTGTTGGTTTAGTAACACTTTAATCAGAGATGCCACCCATTACATACAATTCATGAAAACTAAAGCTTGCCATACACTTGTAGATTCTCCATAGATTCTCCATCAAACTTTCACGTGAACATTAATCCGAAAATTCTCATCATTACATTCAATGACATGATGAATGTCACATGAAAGTACTTCTATAGACCAAGGCCGGAACAAAGTGGAGGGGGGCGAGGGGGCACGCGCCCCTGGACGCAGCATTGAGCAGGGGTTTACTGAAAGTTTCAAGCTTTCCTGCCCTGATACTGTTGGTTGTTGGCTTTTGTGTCCGCTGGCTCTGTGGTACAGGTCTGATAGACAGGGGGGTTAGGACAGAAGCGGACAGAAGATGCAAGGACGTGAATCCGATAGATGTTATATTTCTGAAGCACTTTCAGAGTGCAGGTATAGTGCAATGATGTTCTACTGCATTCGGTATTGTGCATGTGATTGCTCACATGTGCTTAGTGGACCTTTGTAATCATTCTTAAAATGACTATGTGCTATTTGATGGGCTGTATTGAAAGCACTGTGCTTTATTTTCTCTTTTTCTACATATTAGGCTTCCTTAAAATTGTAATTGGCAAAGGGGACTGTAAAAACATGCGGCTGCTTTTTTTTTTCCTGCCCTCTTAACCTGCAAAGGCAGCAGGCAGGAGTGTACACATGCCACAGTGCTTTACTTAGACTTCCTGTTGTGTTTGGTGGGCTGTAGTGCCCACCTAACACAACGTATAAAAGTGAATGGAGCCGCACTGCAGAGTATGCAATGGTTATGGAGTGCTAGTGTGCCATTTAGGGGCTAAAACAGGTGTTGAGAAGGCAACATGTCACCCTCTTGCTGCCAAACGCCTCTGAAAATCGATCCATGTTAAGATTGGTGGCAGACCTTGCCACAAGTGTTGAGCCCTTACTGTTGATTTGGCTGTACTTGACAATACCTAAACCATAAGGTGTTACCTTTTAGTGATAACAATGGCCTTTAATATATATTAAATCACTATACAACATTTAATTGACTGCAGTGTGGTGTGTTGCTCCCAAAAAGCGCATCACGCTAAGGGCTTGTTCACAAGTTAGACAAGCACTGCCACCCCTCAGAGGTGTTTGACAGGCGGAAATGAGGTTATAGATAAATATACAGCAATCCCCAGCGCACAGGAACAACCCCAAAACTTTACACCCAGGTAGCAGAATGCAGCTGCGCACAGGTAATTAACACCAAAACATAAAAAAAAACACAAACAGCGCAAATCAGCACCTCAAACCATGCCTTAACATAGTGTGAAAATCACTAAACATATACTCAAATTAATTAATTGAAGTGACCTTTCAAAGGAAAAATTCCTTTTCAAAAATTATCATTCATATTATAGTGTCCAAATAAAAGAAAAAAAGTCTCTTTTCCCCAATAAATTGTGAAAAAACAAATATCCAAATGAAATAATGCTTCCACCAATCACCAGTGAAAAACCAACATCAACCGCACTCACCAGATGATGGTGAGTATTGCACCTTTTAGGATGTTATGGGCTCCTAGACCCCCTCTATAAACTTTCAGGGCTCCTTCCCACCATATAGGATATAAGGTATATTCTTCCACTCGCTCCTGCCTTCTCCTCTCACCAAACTCCATAGCAGTGCAAGGGAAAAATATATAATAGTGTAATACTGCTAGTAAAAATTGCAATATTGGTAAAAAATTGCCAGACCACTCACATTTGTTAAGATGAATAAAAGCATCTTTTTTATTGCCTCCATAGGCTCAAATAAGTTCCACTCCTTCCACAACTCATACCAGAGACCTCACAGCCTGGTTGTAGCAAGGGATGACAAGATACAGCTCCAAAGATGGCCACTTGGAAAGCACCGCTCGACGTGTGTTCCACTCACCGGAAGCGACGCAGGACATCAGGACGGCAGATCGGAAGTACGTCGACAGGTTTTGCCCCACCCACAGGGGTTCTCAAGACAGTGCATGTTTAGGAGATATTCATTTTACCTACAGGTAAGCTGTATTAAAGGTTTACTTGTAGGTAAAAATACTCCTTTAGCCTCTCCCACTGTTACCACAATTTGGCCACACCTACCACACTGCACGCCACATCTTTATGCCAATCAATGTGCCCATGAGTCCCCTAGGTTTTCCACACACCAAAGAATGCCCCTGCTGAGAGGAGTGACTGCAGTGTCACTCCCATCAGAAGGAGCAGGGGTTCTTATATCTGCTGGAGGGAGGATTCTGCTCTCTTCAATAGTAGCCTACTGTGGGCAGGAGAGATTGGATGCAGCTCAGAACACATCTCAGTCTCAGCACGGACGAGAGGGCAGACTGGCCTTCCTACTGTCTCCCCTTGTCATGTGACACATGACAAGACCAGAGAGGAGAAGAAGGAGAAATCCCAGAAGGTGCCACGCTGAGGTGTGAACTGTGAGCACACATTGGGGGGAGGCAGGATGCAGTTTGTCATCTTTTCCCTGGGCACTGGATGACCTCAGCCTGGCACTAATAAAGACATCTGCTTTTAACATTCAATTTTAGAGTGAAATAAGAAAAAACACATACCCTGTAATAAATTAATTTGTCAAGCAAAAGTTTTTCATTCCGCTCCTTTAAATTTTCCTATCGCTGCAGTCAAAAACAAATGCCGGCTTGACCCCACTAACCATTAGAAAATTGACCAAACATTCTTAAAATAAAAACTTTGAACAAGGCTTTACTAAAGTTTGGCCAGCTTAATTCTTTGTTCTGTCTCCCAATCCCTTGTAGCTGTAGCCACTACAGATTGGTGTATAAGGACATGAAAACTCAAGTTCAATAGAATTGATTCCTATTCCTAACTCATTTTAAACTTCACTGTGAATCTTGTTTTTTATAAATAACATGTCTTGGATTTAAATCATTTCTATAGAAAAAGCGTTATTTGTGTATCTTCAGAAATATATGGCTCACAGAGGACTGAAGATACTTGTTGTTCCACTTTGTGTAAATCACATATATTGGCCCTGACAGTATACCATCCTATGTAAGCCAATGTGACAGCAGTGATCAATGAGAATATTTGTACTGTAGCTTTCTAGGGTGTGATTATCAGACAATACTGCATTTCCCTTCTCTCCTACAGTGCTGCATACTGTTTCAACTTGCATATAAATCTTCTCATACTCCAAAGAGTAAATTTACTATCGCTTACAGAGTAATTGGATTTTTATTGATTACTTGTCTGGTAAATATATTAATGAGATTTTCCTGGATATAAATGTACAGAAAAAGATTTTAAAACAATATTAATTAGAAAAAAAAATCGTCAGCACCAGACAGTTTACAACTTGCACAAATGGAACAATTTAAGCTAAAGGTTTCTATTATATAACATTTTTTTCATATAAAGTCATTAGTGAAATAAAACATATGCATTAAACAGTATTTGCAACATAGACTATTAAAAATGTACCTATCATTTGGCTTTAAGGACATTTAAGGGAGCAGAAGGGTACCATGATCAAACAATCCACAGGGTTTTAAAAAAGGTCCTACGCAAAATATTTTTTATATTTTACTGTACAGCGAGCCAGCCACTTTATTAGGTAGATATTGTTAGTACGTGGTTGGACCCCCTTTTGCTTTTGAAACTGCCTTAATTCTTCATGGCATAGATTCAACAAGGTGTTGGAAAATTCCTCAGTTCATATTGACATGATAGCATCACGCAGTGGATGCAGCCATGATGCAATTCTCCTGTTCCACCACATCCCAAAGGTGCTCTGTTGGATTGAGATCTGGTGATTGTAACAGCCATTGAAGTACAGAGAAATCAATGTCATGTTCAAGAAACCAGTTTGAGATGATTTGAGCTTTGTGATATGGTACAATATCCTGCTGGAAGTAGCTATCAGAAGATGGGAACACTGTAGTCATAAAGGGATGGACATGGTCAGTAACACTACTCAGGTAGGCCATGTCATTTAAATGATGCTCAATTGGTACAAGAGGTCCCACAGTGTGCCAAGAAAATATCCGCCACACCATTACACCACCACCAGCTTGAACCAGTGATACAAGGCAGGATGAATCCATGCTTTCATGTTTTTTACACCTTACCATCTGAATATCGCAGCTGAAATCGAGACTCATCAGACCAGGAAATGTTTTTCCAATCTTTTAATGTCCAATTTTGGTGAACCTGTGGGAATTGTAGTTTCCGTTTCCTGTGCTTAGCTGACAAGAGTGGCACATGGTGTGGTCTTCTGGTGCTGTAGCCCATCTGCTTCAAGGTTTGACGTGTTGTGCATTCAGAGATGGTATTCTGCATACTTTGGTTTTAACAATTGGTTATTTGAGTTGCTGTTGCCTTTCTATCATCTCAAATCAGTCTGCTCATTCTCCTCTGACATCAGCAAGGCATTTTCATCCACACAACTGCCACTCACTGGATATTTTCTCTCTTTCAGGCCATTCTCTGCAAACCCTACAGATTGTTGTGCGTGAAAATCCCAGTAGATCAGCAGTTTTTGAAATACTCAGACCAGCCCGTCTGGCACCAACAACCATGCCACGTTCAAGTCACTTAAATCCCCTTTCTTCCCCATTCTGATGCTTGGTTTGAACTTCAGCAAGTCATCTTCATCACATCTAGATTCCTAAATGCATTGAGTTGCTGCCATGTGATTGGCTAATTAGAAATTTGTGCTACCAAGCAATTGAACAAGTGTACCTAATAAAGAGGCCGGTGAGTGTACAGTGGGCAAAAAAGTATTTAGTCAGCCACCAATTGTGCAAGTTCTCCCACTTAAAAAGATGAGAGAGCCCTGTAATTGGCATCATAGGTAGACCTCAACTATGAGAGACAAAATGACAAAACATAACTGCTCTAGAGGAGATCTGCATGGAGGAATGGGCCAACATGCCAGCAACAGTGTGTGCCAACATTGTGAAGACTTACAGGAAACGTTTGACCTCTGTCATTGCCAACAAAGGATATATAACAAAGTATTGAGATAACTTTTGATATTGACCAAATATTTATTTTCCACCATAATTTGCAAATAAATTCTCTCCAAATCAGCCAATGTGATTGTCTGGATTTTTTTCCTCATTTTGTCCCTCATAGTTGAGGTCTACCTATGATGCCAATTACAGGCCTCTCTCATCTTTTTAAGTGGGAGAACTTGCACAATTGGTGGCTGACTAAATACTTTTTTGCCCCACTGTATAAAGGCTAAAGAAAAAGAATCTGTGTTGTGACAAGCATTCAGTCATTTCAGAACCAATTTTCTAAGGAACCTAAAGGATAAGTTCACCTTTTGGACAAAAATAATAAATGCACATTTTTTTTGCAGGTAAAAAAAAATGTTAATTTATTATTTTGGTCTGCAGGAGCCTGGAAAGCATTGCACCAGTGATCAGTAGATTGCTGATGCCATGCAGGTCTCCTGCAGATCTGCCGGTATTCAGGGGAAACTCGAAAAATTAGAATATCGTGCAAAAGTTCATTTATTTCAGTAATGCAACTTAAAAGGTGAAACTAATATATGAGATAGACTCATTACATGCAAAGCAAGATAGTTCAAGCCGTGATTTGTCATAATTGTGATGGTTATGGCTTACAGCTCATGAAAACCCCAAATCCACAATCTCAGAAAATTAGAATATTACATGCAATCAATAAAACAAGGATTGTAAATAGAACAATATCGGACCTCTGAAAAGTATAAGCATGCATATGTACTCAGTACTTGATTTGGGCCCCTTTTGCAGCAATTACTGCCTCAATGCGGCGTGGCATGGCAGCTATCAGCCTGTGGTACTGCTGAGGTGTTATGGAAGACCAGGATGCTTCAATAGCGGCCTTCAGCTCTTCTGCATTGTTCAGTCTCATGTCTCTCATCTGTCTCTTGGCAATGCCCCATAGATTCTCTATAGGGTTGAGGTCAGGCAAGTTTGCTGGCCAATCAATTTGGTGCTTTTGGCAGTGTGGGCAGGTGCTAAGTCCTGCTGGAAAATTAAGTCAGCATCCCCATAAAGCTCGTCTGTGAAAGGAAGCATGAAGTTCTCCAAAATCTCCTGGTAGACGGCTGCATTGACCCTGGACTTAATGAAGCACCAACACCAGCAGATGACATGGCTCCCCAAATCAACACAGACTGTGGAAACTTCACACTGGACTTCAAGCATCTTGCAGTGTGTGCCTCTCCATTCTTCCTCCATACTCTGGGTCCTTGGTTTCCAAATGAGATGCAAAAGTTGCTCTAATCAGAAAAGAGGACTTTGGACCACTGAGCAACAGACCAGGTCTGTTTTTTCTTTGGCCCAGGTAAGACGCTTCTGACGTTGTTTGTTGTTCAGGAGCGGCTTGACAAGAGGAATATGACATTTGAAGACCATGTCCAGGATCCGTCTGTGTGTGGTGTCTCTTGATGCACTGACTCCAGCCTCCAGTCCACTCCTTGTGAAAGTCCCCAACACTTTTGAATGGTCTTTTCCTGACAATCCTCTCCAGGCTGCGGTCATCCCTGCTGCTTGTGCACCTTTTTCTTCCACACTTTTCCCTTCCACATAACTTTCTATTAATGTGCTTTGATACAGCACTTTGGGAACATCCAACTTCTTTTGCAATTACCTTTTGAGGCTTTCCCTTCTTATGGAGGGTGTCAATGATGGTTTTCTGCACAACTGTCAGGTCAGCAGTCTTTCCCATGATTGTGATTCCTACTGAACCAGACTGAGAGACCATTTAAAGGCTCAGGAACCCTTTGCAGGTGTTATGGCTTAATTAGCTGATTAGAGTGGGACACTTTGAGCCTAGAATATTGCACCTTTTCACAATATTCTCATTTTTGAGATTGTGAATTTGGGGTTTTCATGAGCTGTAAGCCATAATCATCACAATTATGACAAATCACGGCTTGAACTATCTTGCTTTGCATGTAATGAGTCTATCTCATATATTAGTTTCACCTTTTAAGTTGCATTACTGAAATAAATGAACTTTTGCACGATATTCTAATTTTTTCGAGTTTCACCTGTATCTGTTTGCCATACGGGATGTATGAGCAAGCAGACAGGAAGCTTCAATGAACTACCATGGCACTCCACAGCGCCATGGTAGTGCATTGGAAACTACACGCCGACTGCTGCTGAAGCCGGCCATACAAGGGTCAAATTCTGAATTTTCTTGAGAAAATCTTTTCAAAGAATTTTAGTTCGAATTTCGCACGATTAGTGGGTCACAAAAATGGCCGATTTTCGTGTGACCATTGAGTTTGAGTGATCGGAAATGTTGGAAATTTTTGGAAAAACGAACAAATTTTGAATCAATGATGGGAGGAATCATGTGGAAAATATAAGCATGAGCTGTGACCTGTGACCTGGAAAGAAAAGAAAATTCTTGGCCACTAAAATTCTTTTCTGTAGCAACATGAGGTGAAACTGAAGACTTGGTTGGTTGAATTTCAAGTTCAATGGTAGCACCATCAGATTACAAAATGCTCAAAATGTCCGATTTTCTCAAGACAATTAGTTCGGAATTCGACCCATGTATGGCTGGCATAAGGCTGCCAGGACTTGCAGGCACTCATTCACAGAACGCAGTTTTCAAATCTGACAGATAGTATGGGGAAACTTCTCCCTGTACTGTCAGAGGGAGGGGTGGTGGTGAACACGGCTGCAGCTATAGGAACATTACATGTTCCACCCTAAACATGTTCCAAAGGTGAACTTATCCCTTAATACAGTGTAAGTGATGTTATGGTCTTATGGAAGATGAAAATTATTTTCTTAAATTATATTAAAAAAGAAGTCCATCTGCCTTTTCAGTACATAAAATATCAAACAAAATGACTTTGTTGCTACCTCTAAAAATGCTGAGAATTTTTCTCACTGCAATAAAAGATATATACCTCTTCAGTAGGAGGTGAACCCAATCTCCACTGTCTTTAAGTGCTAAAATCTTCAACACTTCTGGGAGTTTTTAATGCCTGTACCATAGTGCTTTTTTACACATTTTCTTTCTTTCTTTCTTTCTTTCTTTCATAAAAACGTAAAAAAACATTTTTCTTTTTCATTCATTAAACTAGACATAGGATTTCGAGACAACTGGGTTTTTGTCTACAGAAAGATTTAGACCAGGGGTGGGCAACCTGCGGCTCTCCAGCTATTGCAGGACTACAAGTTCCATCATACCTCTGCAAGTCATAGCTGTAACTGTCAGTTTTGCAATGTCTCACAGGACCTGTAGAGTCATGCTTGTAACGTTCGGTCTTTGCAATGCCTCATGGGAAATATAGTTCCACAACAGCTGGAGAGCCGCAGGTTGCCCACCCGATTTAGACAGTTGCAAACTAAAAAGCAGACTGGTATATCCCCTCACGCTCCCAGCATGCCTAAGTTTTTTTTTGTAATGTCCTAGGAGGATGGATGTCTTTTCTCTACTGAGAAATATTTAACTGTTTTGATGAACCCTTATTTCCAGATGTAAGGAGATGTATCGTGGGCATCCATTTTGTACAATGCCTCCATTTCTGGATATGTAAGCAATTAGTTTTGTTTCTTGACTGTACTTTCATTTCTGTGTAAACGTATTCACCTTATATGGTATCCCTCAGCCATTTGTAGTTTCTGTTCTCCACGTATCTATATTGAGAAGAGTAGAATGTTTCATTGGTTATCCTGATTGGAAACGCCTATTGAGTTCTGTATAACATGTCTTGTTGTGTATTAAACTTTCAGAGATACAGGTTTTTAGGCTCCATGCACACTGAGCGTTTTGAGAATGCTGGTAACGTTAGCTGTGTAAAGTCACGTTAAAAACGTGAGTTTTTCCAGCATTTTTTACTGTTTTTGTATTAGCGTTTAGCAGCATTTTTTTGCATTTTTTTTTTAGAAAAAAAAAAACGCTACAAAACGCAAATGTCCAAAAAAAGCTGGTTTGCTGCAATTTACCACATTTTTACAGCTAAAAAACTCCTCTAGAAACTCACTAGTTCTGGCTTTTTTCTCCAGCCAAAAAACACCCCTGCCAAAAAAATGTTGATTATAGTCTATGAGTCCATAGACTCTTCTAGAAACATGCTAGGGAGTTTACTGGCTGTAGAAAAAAAAAACATCAAGAGCCAAAAAACAGCAGCTGTAAAAACGTCCAGTGTGCATGCGGACTAACACTTCAGTGTCTGGAGCTTTATTTCTCCTGGATCCAGAGGAAGAGATAATCGAGGTCAGGCTAGAGATGTTTTTTTTTTTTCTTGGTAGAGTGCATGTGATCAGCACAGGGCCAATCAGCACTGTCCAGACAGAGGTCAGGGAATTTCCATCCTCCTAGAGAAAACCCCTCCTACAATCTTTAACCAGTGCTCTGCTGAAGTCACAAGACTGCTCTAACTGCTGATGAGAAAAGGTATTTAGCAGTTTATATTTACTAAAATAATTGCATTTCCATGGTGTGTGTACTGTGGGAGACCAGATATAATGGATACAGGGTCCTGGGTTTAGTATCGGTTTAATTCCTCAGCGTTAGTAATAATGATACCCAAGGGGACTGACAACTCATGGGGCCCCCGGGGCAATAGGGGATCATGGGGCCCCTGTGTCCTTGCCCAAACTCAAAAAAGCCTATGAAAAAGGTACCAGGAGCATCTCATGGGGCCCAGGACCCAGGACCCAGAACCCTGTATTCACTATATCTGGTCTCCCACAGTACACACAACATTGAAATGCAATTATTTTAGTAAATATAAACTGCTAAATACCTTTTCACATCAGCAGTTAGAGCAGTCTTGTGACTTCAGCAGAGCACTGGTTAAAGCTTGTAGGAGGAGTTTTCTCTTTCTGCTCTAGGAGGATGTGAAACCTCTGACCCTTCTGTGTGGACAGTGCTGATTGGCCCTGTGCTGATCACATACACTCTCCCAAGAAAAAAAAGAAAAAAAACCTCTCTAGCAATACACGCCAAACTGAGCATGTGAATGTGACCACAACAACAAGAAGAGGGGCAGAGAAGAAAGGATCAAACAGCCTTTTTTACACAATGCAGAGGATTAACCCCTTAGGTTCCACAATGAGTATAACAAGCATGCTTTACTGCATATACAGACTGATTTTACTGTTGTGGGTTTAGTAACACTTTAAGTATTGCATTATTAGGTGAAGTGTACTGCACTGCATGCATCTGCACCCCTGTTCTTGCCATTCAGCATGAGATTGTACCTCCCCTCCACTACTGCTTATTGTCAGAGACTTGCCATTTCACTTTGATTAGTCCTTGCTGCTGCCTACAGTCACCTGGTCGCCTCAGGATATTTGAGCTTCTGCTACCATCAGTTCACCAGTGCTCAAAGTTTTACCTTGTATTAAAGCTAAGCTATCCCTGCTTGAGGTGCAACATGAAAAACTCATAAGGACTTGTCCTGATTTGTCATTTCCCTAACGCTCATGATCCACAATTCCAGGATGGCCTGCAGCGTTCTCTCTCAAGGGCCTGACACCAACAGCATGGAATGTTGTCCCTTGCTTGAGTCTCTGCACTCCAATGGAGTCTTCTTTAACTTTGTGGGAAGTGCCCCTTATTTGGGTCTAACCTGCGAAAAATTTACCTGCAGTTTTGCAGGATTAATGGGCCAAACTGAAATTCTGATTGCGGTCTGTGAATGTACCTCCACACCTTCCCGTACAGAATCAGTACCTGACCTGCCTGCAACTTTAGCAGCCTCTGAACCTTTGGCTGCAGAGTCTGTATCCGATGAAGAGATGTATGTCTCTTACCAGATTAATTTTTCCCACAAGCAGCCACCATAACTCCCAAGCTTAGCAACACCATTTTTGATCTTTTTGATGTGGTGAATGTCAGCTTAAAAATGGAGAAGCAGCCCAGAGCTTCCTCCTGCGTTGCTACCAGTCTAAGATCCTTAAGAAGCCCCAAGACTACTAAAATATTTCTCTTACACATGCTATCCCCATACTATTCTGTATACTGAGTGGGAAACAACTAATAAACTATACCATCCAGAAATGTTGCAAGGTCGGACCCATGTAGATAAATGGCGGGAAGGGAGCGCTGCTGAAGGAAGCGCAGCCGGAAGGGAGCGCACGTCACCGTGTTCTGTGCCCACTGGTTCCGCTAGACACAGCAGAACACCGATCGCTGTACAAGACCTCTGTGTGTGGTCCCGATTCATGTGATCACTGATTGGCCAATCAGTGATCATATGAATGGTAGTAAACAAGATGTGTCACTTCCTGACATCATTGCTTACTACTTGTGAAATCTGTGAATGATCACAGAGGTCACATGGTACAAGGCACCATGTGACAAGAAGGAGAAATGATTGCTTTTTACAGCCTTTATGGAACAAATACACAACGGTAAACACAAAACACCTTAAACAGATTGCAGCAAGAGACCTCAGCATCAGGTTACTTTGAGCGTGTTATATTAACATCTGCTCTGAGCCTAGGAGGGGGGGTTGAAGCAGTCAATGCTGGTTTGGGCACCAAAGACCTAAATCGGATCTGGGTCCTCCAGTTTTCAGAGTCTGTGTGTTTCGGGGATATGGATTTGGATCCCAAGAAAAACTACTCCAAAGATCCCCCAGGCACACACTCTCAAAAAATAGAGCCCACTCGGATGCCAGGGCCCATGGTCAGTAGCAAGAGGGCTAGCCTGCAGTCCCCTCCAAAAGACCCTTGTCCCAGTTGGGTCTGTCACACCTACACTACTGTATACATGGATTAGTTGGATGCCCCCATCCTTATATCATAGAAATGAGGCTCCTATCAATTATAATATAGGGAATTCTTTGCTTAAAATGTTGGGCTGGGGGAAGCATGTAAAAAAGTGTGTTTACCGATGCATGCCTTTTGAGACATGTCACTTCAAAGCTGCCTTTGACAACCCTCGTCAAGGATGTCTTTGGGAATGAGTATTTGTCTGCCACAGCGCAAGAAGCTTAGGCTTCAAACTGAGAAAAAGCGTTCCTTTCATCACTCCCAGACTTCAACCTCTAAGGTAAAACCCAAGTCCAGGGCCCAAGCCCAATTTTACCACAAATTCCCTAAATCCCCAAAGTGGTGCCCCCACTTTCCAAGCCTTTCTCTATCAGAGAGACCTTCTATCCTCTATGGACATCAGACTTGCATGTCACTATTTTTCTTACACATCAGTGATTCATTTGTGGGCCCCCAGCACTCCCAGTTTGTGGGCCAGCCATTTGGCCTTTCTACTTTCCCCCATGTATTTACCAAGGGTATAATAGCCCCTGAGCTATGGTTGCTGCCTTAAATTACGTGGCTGTTGAAGCCCGGTCTTAACCCATGATCCCTACGATGTGAAAACCCAAGAAGTCCACTTCTCAGTTTACCATCACACCTGAAGAAAAAACTTTTAGTGTGAGGAAATAAGCTTGCATCCCTGAAAAAAACATTTGTTGGTCGAATATTTACCTTTTTGCAATCAGGTCTGGATCAGAAATTGGCCCTAAGTACCATCAAGGGTCAGATCTGGGCCTTTGCAATCTGTTTCCAAGGAGCACTACAACCTTTCTTTGATTAGGGACCTTTTTCCTTTGTAGCTCCCAGTCTGTGCCCTCCCATGTGTATGTGAGATTTGAGTTTGGATTCTCACAGTACTTAACTATGCCCTTTGAACCTATCAGGGATATTTCCCTTTACTCTCTCACTCTTCTGGCCATCACCTCTGTGAGGTGTGTTTTTTGAATTGATTGCTTTGTCCAATAAAGAACCTTTTTCTGGTAATACACAAGGATAAGGTGGTATTAAAGTGGTTGTAAAGGCTGAGGATTTTTTACCTTCATGCATTCTATGCATGAAGGCAAAAAAACCTGTGTACAGTATCCCCCCCAGCCCCCGCTAATACTTACCTAAGCCCCCTCTTGATCCAGCGCTGTGCACTGGAGTCTCGGCTATCCCGGGACTCCCTCTTCTCATTGCCTGAGACAGCAGCGGGAGCCATTGAAACTCACATGGCATGGATGGACAGCCTTCCTCCCTGTTGACTCGGGCTACTGCTCTGGATGGCTGTGCACAGCACAGCCATCCAGAGCAGTGTGCTTACAGTGACGCACACACCCGCCCCCCCTAGTAAAACACTCCCTACACATAGTTAACCATTTGATCGCCCCTCATATTAACCCCTTCCTGCCCAGTGCATTTAGTACAGCGTCAACGCTTTTTTTTAGCATTGATCACTGTATTTGGTGTCACTGGGGATGTCAGTGACACCAAGTCAGTTCCCCCCAGTGTCAGAAATGTCCGCCGCAGTCCTGCTAAAAGTCGCTGATCGCCGCCATTACTAGTATATAAAAAACAATCCCAGTATCTATACCGCCATTTGTAAACACTATAACTTTCACGTAAACCAATTAATTTACACGTGTTGGGGGATTTTTTTTAGCAAAGACATGTAGCAGAATACATTTTGGAGTAAAATTTATGACGAAATTTGTTTTTTTTTTACTGGACATGTTTAATAGCAAAAGTCCAAAATATTGTTTTTTCTCTAAATTGTCAGACTTTTAATTATAGCGGAAAAAAAAAATCTCACAGGGATCAAATACCACCGAAAGAAAGCTCAATTAGTGGGAAAAAAGGACATATATTTAAAATCTTGGTTCAATGTTACATGACCCGCGCAATTGTTAAAGTAATGCAGCGCCGTTACGCAAAACATGGCCTGGTCAGGAAGGGGGGTAAATCCTCAGGAGGGCAAGTGGTTAACAGACCAGGCAGTCCAACAAAATTACAGAGAGGTACAGAAACACCCTGTACAGGGAAAGAGGGAGGCAGAGTCTACACAAGAGAGAACTACAGAAAGGGCATACATGATAAAAGAGGAGGCATTAAATTAAAATGTTTAAATGATTACATAGCTAAAAAATTATGAGTTTGATTTTTACATGGAACAGAGCAAAGTTTTGCTTGCCTGAAATGAACTCTAAAACTGTCCCCCACCACCACCCCTCAGAACAATGCGAGGCATTCTTTCAAATATACATAAAACAGGCTGAAACCAGTAAAAGTGTTTTTCTCCCAAATTTTAATAAAAGTAAAAAAGGTAGAATTATTATATTCAGTAACCAATAAAGGAAACATTTTCAGTATACTCTGCATAACCCACTACTTTAAAGACAGCAAACCTACATTCTTAGTAAGCAAGGTTTTCCACAAATCAAAGACATTTCAACAACCTCAGTATACAGCTTTTTGCCTATAATATTAGACATCTAGAATACAATGCTAAATAATTTATTGCAGCAATGTATTGCAACTAATGAAACTTAATACCCTGGAGCAAGAAACTGCAATAATTGCTGAAAAATATAGGATATCAAAAAATATGTTCAGCAAGGTCACTCCACTGAACACAAGATACATCAGTTTGCCTCCAGGTGTCACTGTACTTGAAAGTTGTATTGTCAGTTTCTCCAGGCCCAGAGGTCCTAATGCCTGGTACACACTATACATTTTTTGATTTAACCCAGTGGGCTGAACGAAAAAAAACTGAGAGATCGCTGTACTAACACAAGCTATGTTAGTACAGCAATCTCCTCCTCTGTGCCCAGTTCAGGGAACTGTCCTCCCCCCAGCAGAACACACAGGCCATTGGCTGCAAGTGCTGAGCAGATGCCAACCAGATGCTGGTTGCCCAGCATGACAGTTCAACAGAAGTCGGTCATGAGACTAGCTTCTGTCAGACAGGGAGATGTACACATGGGCTGAAAGCTGTCTGGTTTCTGCTGTACTGATTTTGGCCTATCTTCGGCTTGTGTATGTAACCAGCATAACATTGAAATGTGGTATAGATGTTACCCATTTCCACTTTGGCTGGCAAGAGAACCTCTAATTCTCACTGGCTTTTTACTGTTTTGCGTCCTTTTTCCCCTGGCACTAATATTTTATTTTGTCTTTATGCCCTTGGTATATATTTTTTTTAATTATGTAGTGAAAAGTGCTTTTAATACATTCAATTTCTGTGGTTTTGTGTCTATCTCCCTGGCATCTAGTAATTATTTTGTACATATCACATTGGAATCTGGTGTTTTTTTCTGTCCATATCC